CATGAATAGGAAATAAGAGAGGGAGTGGCAAGCCAGCTGCAGCCCATCCCTCCACATCACTCGACCCACTTCTCCGTAAATACACTCATTCCACTGCAGTGTAAAGTAGTGAGCAAATGTATTAAAGAAAGTATTATATTAGATGATGTTTGTGAGAGGGTTGAGGTAAATAAGAGAGAATGAGAGAGGAGTCATTCTGGCTGCTGCCTACCCTTACACATCTGTGATATTAGTTACCAGGCACCAGTACAGTAAATGCATGGAAATATATGATTTTTTTCCTGCCTTTAGCTCTTGTGTCTTTAGTTATTTAAATTTCTACTATGAACTTCATTCACTCTCGAACACTTCAGTTATGCTACATGCTACTGCAGTGTACACCAACAATTATAATTTCCAATATGAATGGGATTTCAGATGCTTCTTGAGATAGTAGTCAAGACCACTTTAGAGAGCCAATATTTTAACAGAGGTAGTTCTACTACATATTACTTTCTCCTCACCAGCCATTTGAAACTATGGCAGCTTCTCATTCATAAATAATTATATTCAAAGTGCATTTTACAGCAGGCTAACCAAAACATTTACTTCCCACAACCACGCAGCTTTTATGGCGATTTAGCTGAGTTTAATGTTCCATCTTCAACAGAGACCGATAAAGCTGTTTGTTGGTCCCTGTAAATTCCAACATATTGCCATAAAACCTGACTCGCTTGTCTTCAATAGATTCATGTGAGGGACTTATAATGCAAGTGAATTGACCAATCATTCTCCTTTGTATGAGCATGATTGCCTCCCATTATCCCCTCCTGGCGCTCATATGACCTTAACGGATTTTAGCACTTCCCCTTGTATTAATAATGAATTTTTTGTTACATCTGGCGTCTTCTCACTAAAGCAAGGTAAACCCAAATAAGGGCCACTTACATTTTTTCATCAAAATTTTTGCACGCCCTTGAAAGAGGCGTGCGTTTTAAAAAACAGTTTAGATGCCCCTTAAAACCGGGGCAAATATCCCCCAAACCCCTCCTTTAGAGTGAAAGGAAATGACTTCCCCGGAACCCCTTCCCCAAAATATTCCCTTTTTCATACTTTCAACGTATCGGTTTCCAAAAAAAATTTGTCTCCACTCCTCCAATCAAACAGCTACATATCCCTGCTTGTGTCCAAGCCCCTTGGCAAAAAACCCCTCCCCTTTTTACCCCCCCATTCTTTCCTAGGATGCCCTCTACCCTGCCTTCCCCCCAACTACATATTTATACCCCCTTTTCCAAGTCTTTCCTATTTTTGCCTCCTTACTGTCTGAATGCCCCAAAAAATCACCTCAAAAAACCCACTCGTAACCCCTCCTCTAATCTCCAAAAGTCTCTGCAAAATTATTTTATGCCATACTTTTGCCCTCAGAAAACATCATCCCCAATCCCCCTCAGTCCCCTACTCACGAACATTTAAGCCTTCTTCACCCCATTTTAAGAGTTTTGGTACCACTTACTCTCATGCTCCTGGGATTACATTTTTTGCCCCTCAGAAACCTCATTGCACCACCCCCCCTTTTTCCCCTTTCCCCAGTTCTTTTTTGGGGGGTTTTACCTCATCTTTTCATGTAACCCATCAACTGACCCTTTTTCCACCCCCAAAATACCCGAAACTTTAATTTCCCTCCATACTCGCTTCCCTACAATTTTGAAAACCCATTTTTTTCCCAAAATTTCATTTGTTTCCCCTTTTCATTTACTTTTTATCTGTTTTATTTTTAAAATTCCCTTTACTTTACACCCCCAAAACTTGTCCACTAAGCTTTGCAAATTCTCTTCAAAATACCCCAAAAAGCACGGGTACTATCAGAAAAAACTTAACTTCCCAAACCCCCATTTTGTTTTGGGGGGATTTGCATTTTTAAAAAATCTCACCCCTCCCCCCAACACCCTAGCATTTACTTCTTTTACAATCCCATCTTTTAAATTATTTTAAAAACCCTTGGTGACATCACGCATCCCTGTCTAAGGCCCTTTATTTTTACGGGAAAGAAACCTTTCCCTCTCTCCTAATCCCTTTAAAACCTGGCCTCACTTTTGTTTTAAACGAAACCCCTTTACAGCTTTTAATAACCTCCCAAAATATTCCATAAAACTTGCAAACATCTGCCACCATTGTTTTCTTTAAACAAACTGGCCATATCCCCCCAAAGGGAAAGGGTGGCCCAAAAAGAAGAATGTATACGGAAAAGGGGGCTATACCCCTGCTTTTAGCACCTGTGGGGCACGCATGGCTTTATAGGGGAAAGGAATTCTTTTCCCCATTTCCCCCACTGAGATAAATGGAAATAAACAAGAACTAGAAAAGAAATTTAAGAAAAAACCCCAGGGGGTTTTGTGTATATATGTTTTACATGCAGTTTTGTGGTGATTAAGTGTAATTTGAAGACAAAAAAAAAAGACCCCCGCAACCCTACCATAACTTAAAACCCCAATTACAGGTTTCCTTTTTAAAATTCACTTGGCGGAGGGTTTGTACACCCCTGGGTGGTTGCGTTACCTCCTACTCCCTAGGCCCTTATGTGTATTTTTTGTCTAAACCCATAAAACCCCAATGAAAAACTTGCCTACCTTTATTTTAAAATAGTGTTCATTTATGGGTTCAATGTAAAAACTTGGGGGGTTTTCCTACCCCCCCCCCAAATTCCCCAAATTCTAAAGCCTCCTTTTTTCATTTTTGCAGTTTTTGCTCTCGGGCCTTCCCCTTAATTCTTTCATTTAATCCCCTGAAAAAAAAATTTGGTTTAAAAAAACGCCCACAAGGGAAAAACAAAAAACACATATGCAGTTTAATGTGACCCTTTTATTGACAACGTTTCACCCACCAGTGGGTTTTTTTCAATCACACCCCGATCAACCTGGGTTTGGAAGGTAGGGGAGTTTTTTTTAGTCATGTTCAGAATGTTGAGGTCAGGTGGAAAAAAGCCGCTTTGGATGATCTACCGGGGGGGGTTTTTTTTTAAGAGTTTTGGGGGTAGTTTGGGAAAGGGGTATTGGAAAAGTTGGGGTTTTTGACCTTCTCCCGTTTTCTTTGTTTTTATGGGGGAAATAGCATGAAGAAGTTCTTGGCGAGGGGTTTCCCGCTATTTTTATAAAAAGCCGTTGTTCTGGTTGAAATTGTTGGTTATGGGGAAAAAGCGATGTTTCCCGGATTCTTCGGTATTGAGTGTTGTTTTTTGGGGGAAAGTTTTTTTGTAGTTAATTAAAGGGGTTGTGTGAATTGCAAATGTGTACAAAAATGCTGAACCATTTCGCCAAAAAACTTTTCATCACTACCCCCCCCCACTTTAAAAAACAAAAGAACATGAAAAGGTTTTATCAAAAACTTGTCCAAAAACCCCTCCCCAAGTCCCCAAGACTCTATAAACCCCCCCCGGTAGATAAATCAGATGCGGCTTTTTCCCCACCTGACCCCCAACATTCTGAACATGACTATAAATACTCCCTTTCCCTTCCCAACCCGGTAGATCTGTGTGTGACTTAAAAAAAGCCCACTGTGTGGTGAAACTTTTTGTCAATTAAAGGATCAAAATTAAAAGCATATCCCGTTTATTTTTCCCCAGTAATAACCCTACCATCACCTTACCTGGAAATACTCAATGGGCCCCTTTTTCCTCCCTTTAATTTTTATTTTTTTTTTTTTTGTCCCCTTCCCCTTTATAAAAAGGGAAAACTATGTTACTTTCCCCATTTCTAGGGTATTTTCCTTTTTCATAAAATTTATCGAACAAAATTTTTACTAACCACCCCAAAACTATATCCCCCCCTGTTTTTAAAACATTTGTCTTTGATCCCACCCAATCCCACCCTGTTTTCCCCCCTTTGTCATTTAGCAGTGCCTCTTGCACCTCCCCCAACATCCCCATCTGGCTCTTTTTTTCACCCTGAAGAGGTTATACCCCCCGGGGCCAAATGTTGGAAATCTTGGCCTCCCTTTTTTCCTTCAACCAAAAAAACTTTCCCTCAAAATTACTCCCATCTTCCGATCCCCCCAAAATTTCTGCATCTATTAATTCCACTTTTTTAACTGCCCAGGGGGCCATTTTTTTCCCTAGGCTTTTTCACCCCAAATTTTTTCCCCAAAAACCCTTTCATCACCCATTCAACTTTTTTTAAACATCATTTCACGCATAATCCCTTTTTGCAGAGGTAATCAGATACAACAGTTTAGATGCCCCCCAAATTCCAAATTTAACCCCAAAAATCCTCTTTTAAAGTGCAGGCATTGTCCCTCCCATTTTCCAGGATCAAGCCCGGCTAACTGGTTTCCCTAAATTTCCCTTCATGAATTTACCCTGTCACACTCCAGCGCTTGTCAGGCCCAAAAAAACCATGCTCTATTCACTCCAAAACATGCTCTTTGCACGCTTGCTGGAAGCCCAAAGCCCCTCCCCCACAAACCTTTTACTCCCTCCCCCCAAACCTTTTAAAGGATGACCCTCCCCCTCCCCTTCCCTTCCCCTCGGGATTTATCCCCCTTTCCAAGTCATTCTACTTTGCTCCTTTCTCTCTAAATGACCAAACCACCCGAAAACCCCCTCTTGGGCCCTTTTTTTTCTTATTTTTCGAAAAAATTTTTTGACAACACTTCACCCAATCTGTCATTTCCCTTTCTTTTATCTCTATAAAACTCCACCTTTTTTTATATCACTTATATGTATTTTCCCTTAAAAAATTATGAAAGATTTTTTTCCCTTATCACCTCCCTTTACCCATCATAAACCAAAAAATAATTATGCAAAAAAAAACAATGGGTAGTGTTTGTTTGTGCCCTAAATAACCAAAATTACAATAGGGAAATTGACAAAAAAATTATTGCCTTTTTTGGTTTATTGAAAGGCTTTACCCCCCAAAATTTAAAAGGCAGCTTCACAGATGGAGGGGGGGTGTCTGGCGGCCAAACTTTTGCTGCCATTATTAATATATTTTCCCGATATTGGGCTCCTAAAAGGGAAAATAAAAAAGGTGGCCTGTACCCTTACCGAGCTAGTAAAGTGAGTTTTATTTAAATTAAACCCTTGACTTTTTTTTTGGGTCATATTATATGTTTTAAAAAGTAAATTTGGGAAAAGATTTAAGGGTTTGGGTTAAAAAAAAGGGGATTAGGTGATGAAAATTGGATATCAGATTGGAGGGGAGGGGTTGGGGAGGTGGATTATTCGATTTTTTGGGAGGGGGACGTGCCCAGTGGATGGGTCTATAAAAGATGAGGTAAATCAAAGAATTGATGAGGGAAAAAAGGGGAAACCCGGTGAAATTGGGGAAAAGGTCTGTGGGGAAAAAGGGAAATTTGCCCTTTGGAGGCCCAAAGAGGGGAATGTATGAGAGTTTTAGTTTTCCCAAACGCTCTTTTATGGGTGTGAAGCAGGGGGTGTAAAATTTGAGCGGGGAAAAAGGGTTTGGAGGCAGTGGAGATTTTCATGTCTGGGGGCAATGTGTGGTGTGAATACTAAAATTGCAGAGAATTGTATTTTGGAAGTTAGGAGGAGGTGGGGGATTCCCAAAAAAACTGTTGTCCGGGAGGGCTGTGGAAGGTTGTTGGGGGGTTTCAAAACTGTGGGGAGAAAAAATGGGGGAAAAACAAAATGACTTAAAAGAGTGTATCGTCTGTAGGGGAAGGAAGGCGGGGTAGGGGTCGGCCTGGGAAAAGGTTTGGGAGGGGGGGGGAAAAGGGGGTTTTTTGTGTCCCGGGGGGCTTGGATTCCAGCGGGCATCCGTGGGGGTGTTTGATGGGAGTGAATGGGGGACTTTGGTTTTTAATACTTGACATCCCGGGTTGGAGTGTGAGAAAATTAAATTTTTAAAGGGGGATTCAGGGAACCGGCAGGGGGGACTTGAGCCCTGGGAGGGGAAAAATTTTCCCATCCCTTGCACTTAAAAGGAAAGGGGTTTTAAATTTTTGCTTTTTAAAAAACTTAGTGAAAGGGCACCCTTCTGGAAAGGACAGTGATGGAGTGAATAGGTGAAAGTTTTTCTTTTTTGGGCCCCCCTTTCCCTTGGTGGGAACCCCCCCGGGTGTTTTAAAAAAAAAAAAAAAAGTCTTAGGGGGGGACCTTTGTTTGAGTATAAATCCCCATAAATTTTAGGGGGCTTCAATTTTCCAAGCAGGGAAAAACTGGTAGGCCCAAAATGTGGGAGAATGGTCTGTGTGGTCGTGTGCACCTTATAAAAAAAACCCTGGAGCACAAGTGCCACAATGAAAAAAAAAAAAATCGCCCATTTTTTAATTAAAATGCCGACTTTGTGGTAAAATTTTTCGTTTTTTTGGGGTTTTTTTTTGGTTGTACACGTGGTATAGTTTGTGGTTGGTAGACAGCAACCACCCGGGGGAGGTATCCCATCCTGCCAAGTGAATGTTAAAAAAAAAAGCCTAAAATTTGGGTTTTAAATTTGAGGGTTAGGATTGCTGGTTTTTTTTTTTCTGTACATAAATATAAAAATTTCCCCCCCAAGGTATGCTTGAAATTCTAATTTTCCCCATTTTTGGGTTTTCAAAAAACCTTCTCCCCTTTTGGGGTAAAACATTTTTTATACCCCCCCTCATCCTGATTTTTCCCTTTGATTTTATCTTAATATTTCCCTTGGTCTTATTATTTTTCCCTTTTACAGTGGACCCCGGTTTCCCCGTTTACAAAATCCTTTCGGGAGGGGGCTAATCTAAACCAAAAATATCCCCAAAGTTTTTTAAATTTTTCCCCCATATGATAAAAATTGGAAAATAAATTAATCCGTGAAAGACCCCCCAAAAAAGTATGGAAAAAAAAAATTTTTTTACACATGAAATTATTAAAGTTTAATGCAAAATAGAATATTTTTTTTACAAAAACAACAATAAAAATTAAATAAAGGGAAAATAAGAAAAAAATTAACCTTTAATAAAGTTTGGGTGATGGGTGGGTTGGAGGGGGGGGGTGTGGTGGGGGGGGTTGCTTTTAAAGAAGGGAAATCCCCCCCCATTAGGACTTGAGGTAAAAAAAGGCCCCCCCTTTTTTTGGGGTTTTACTTCCCTTCTTTTTTTTAACCCCTTCAGGGTTCCCCAAAGGGCCCAAAAACTGGGAAGGGGGTGCTCCAGTGTCCAAGAAATTTTGAAAAAAAAAAAATTTTTTTTTTCTTTTCAAATTAAAGAGATATTTTTTTTGAAAGGGAATAAGCCCCCCCCCCAAAAAAAAAATTTTGATCAGTTTCTTTCGGATACATGCCAAAAAAGTTTGTCAAAAATGATGTGGTGGCCGGCAAAAATCGACGAATTTCCCACAATTTCCCCCATTCCTTTTTTAGGGTTTTTTATAAATTTTTTCTTTTCTTTTCCAATTTTTTTCTATTCCCACTTTAAAATTTGGGGCGGGGAAAAGAGACCATTCTGTTTATAATTATACAGTGGACCCCGGGTTAAAGATTTTTTTCACTCCAGAAGTATGTTCAGGTGCCATTTTGACCCAAATTTTTTCCCTAAGGGAAATAAATTTTTGAAGTAGATTAGGGCCATTTAGACCCCCCCAAAATACACGTACAAAAAACCCCTTAAAATAAATTTTCAAATTTCATAATTTTGGTTTTATTCGGAGGTAATTTGTTTTGCGGGGGTCCACTTTTTATATATAAACTCACTTTTATTTAACACAATAACCGAAATAAATTTTTTTTTTTTTTGGGGTTTTTTTTTTAAACCCACCGTTTTACAATAAAAGAAAAAACTTTTAAATACATTTCCCCCATCCCCTTTTTGAAATTTTTCCCCTAAAGGGTTTTTAAAATGCACTTTAAAAAATCCTTGAAACAAATGGCTTCCCCTCCCAAAGGACCTTCCTCCTTTTCCCAAATCCCTTCTTTGATCTTTGTTGACGTCAATTTTTTTGTCCCAACAAACCCCCCTTCCAAAACCCCCAAAACCCCCTGGTTAAGGAAGCGATTTTGAAAAAATCCTTTCCCCCCCCCCTTTATTTCCCAGGCCCGGGACCCCCCCCGTTTTATACAGGTTTTTTTCCTTTGGGATTCTTTTGATTTTCTACAACCGAAAACCCCAAAATTTCACCCTCGGGGTTTTGGGTTGCCCCCTCTTTAATTTTACATTTTTGCAATTAATTAAAATTTTCCCCCTTTAATGGGGAAAAATTTCCTGTCCACCTTTTGTAACTTTATCAAACCAACCCATAAATTTTTAAAAAATCTTCATTCCCCTTTTTGCCCCAAGGACAAAGGGTTTTTGTTAAATCCAATTCCCCTTTACTTTTTTCCCCCCTTTAAATTTGATGATTCAACTTTTGCCCACCGCTTTGGATTCCCAAAAAACTGATAGTTTTCCCAAAATTTCCCCTTCCTTGTATTCCAACCTTTATCCCTAAATTTTTTTTGCATTAAACCACCTTTTTCCCTTATTTCCAACCGCCCCCCTCCTTTACCCCCTGGTTTTTACAATTTTAAAAATTTCCCACAAATCTTGTTTTTTGTTCACTTTTTTTATTTCCACTGGGAAAGGTTTAAATTTGGGCTTTTTGGAACCCTTAAAAAAAGGATTAAGAGGCCCCTTTACCAAAAAAATAAGGGGGGCCTTCATTTTTTTTTCTTCAAATCTTTGGCAACCTGGTTGGAATTTTTAACATTTCCCCTAAACCTTGGGGGTTTTTCTTTCAACCCCGTTTTTAAAAATTTTTTTCCCACCGGTTTTTACAACAAAAAAATTTAAACCGGCCACTTTTTTCAAACCAAAAAAAAGAGTAAAACCCCCTTTTAAAACAGTTTTTACCAAAAGGCGGGTTTTTCCTCCCTTGGCCTCGGTTATAATTTACCTTTTTCCTTTGGAATTTTTTACAGGTTCTTTTTCCCTTTCTTTTGGGAAACAATAAAATCCCCAAAAACTCGGGGGGCCCCCAAATTTAAAGATTTCCCCTTTGTTGATAAAATATGGAAAAGGGGGTTTTTAAATTTTGTTTTTAATTTTTAAAAATAATGAAAACCCCCTTTTAATTTGGGATTTAAGACCCCATTCAAAAAAATTTTCCCCCGGTTTAGGCCAAAACCTGGTTTTTTGGTTTTTCCGAAGAAGTTTTTCCAAAATAATTAAACTTTTAAAAAAATTTTTAAGTATTAAAAATGTTTTTAATTTTTTAATGATTTTCCCTTTTGGGAAAAACCGGGGTTAGGAAAATTAAAACCGGGTTTAAAAAACTTTTGGACCAGTTTTGCTTTTATTTTTTATGGGTTATAGGGCATTTAGGCATAAGGGGGCCCCCCATTGTTGGCCCAAAAACAAAAAAAATTTCTGCAACAGTCAAACTCCCTTTCCCCCTTTTGTAGTCTTGATGTGGTGTATGATTTTATTTGCCATGGGTAAACCCCAAAATTTCTTATTACTTTCCCCGACAATTGTTTCATCAATGGCTGGTCCCAAAAATTAATTCAAAAAATTTTTTTGTTCATTGGCCGTGGTTCCCCAAGGGGGCAAGTAGGGAGAAAATTTCCCCTTTGAGAGTCATCAAAATGGGGGCCTTGGGAACAAATTTGGGATTTTGCTCCCAAACCCCATCGGTTTTTTTGGGGATACTGGACATCATTGGGGTGGGTTTTGGGGTGGTTGTGGTTGGGGGGGTGGGTTTGGGGGTGGCCTCCCCTTTTTTCCCCCTTTAACTGGCAGTCGGGAGCGTGGGTCCCCCCCCTGGGCCCGGGGAGTCCGCCCCTGGCGGTTTCCACTTCCCCTCACCCCTAACACCCTCCACTGATGCCCGTGGTCTATCCCAATTCCCCCCGTGTAGCCCCATCATCTCATTCACTACTAAAAATGTTGGGGCCCCGGTATGTACTCCCGGGGGGTACTCCGTCCCCCGGGGACAGCATAGGGTACACTACCCGAGCGTGCAGCAGCGAAATTCCGGGCGGGTTCATGGTGAAAATGTTCCTCCCCCCTTTATCAAACTCAAAAGACGTCGGGGCGCAATTTTTAAACACAATCCAGTCACTATCATTTATTATGAAGTAGAAAGGCCCGGCCACGCGAAAA